AAAGAAAGAAAGAAAGAAAAGTTCCAACCACCCCACCCAGGTTCCTCTGCATTCACACCCTGCCACCCTCACTGTGGGGATGCCCTTCTGCTCCCCTCTTCTAGCAGTGGTAGGTTTGGTGACCTGCCCAGAACTTCCTCTGTGCACCCAAAGTCACCAGCAGATACAGCTCCCGACATCCTGACACCCCCCACCAAAGGTCTGAAGCTCTCTTCTTTGCAGCCTTCAGCTTTCTGCACCACACAGAGACACACGTCCCAAGTGAAGGAAATTATGGCCCTCAGGGAAACTGTCCATTAGTGGAGGGTAGGAATAGGTGGCTGAATGCCAAAGTCTCCCTGAGCTGCAGTGGACAATCATGAGGCATATTCCTCATGGTGGGTCAACTGGGGTGAGCCCCAGATGGCCACAGTGGCACCCTGCTTGGTTTTTTTTATTAGAGACCGGAGTCTCACTTTGTCGCCCTCGGTGGAATGCCATGGCATCACAGCTCACAGCAACCTCCAGCTCTTGGGCTTAGGCCATTCTCTTGCCTCAGCCTCCCAGTAGCTATTTTTTTGTTGCAGTTTGGCTGGGGCCGGGTTCAAACCCACCACCCTCTGTATATGGGGCCAGTGCCCTACCCACTGAGCCATAGGCCTCACCTGGCACCCTGCTTGTTAACACTGCTATGTGCCAACTGTCCTCCCATCCCTCTCTCAGTTCTCCTAACTACACTTGTGTCCCCAAGACCACTGCCCAGTCCAGCTTTTGTCTTGGAGTCTCCTTGGGGAGAACTAGAGCTAAGACAACTCCCTATGACACTTGGTTCCATCATTCTCTGAGAAAACACTGCCACCCTGGTAACAGTCTGTCCATGCCCAGGCATAGCCCCAACTCTGCTAAAAGTTAGGCCTTCAAGTTATTAAAATGACATCTATGGTTTTCCTAATCGGTGTGCCATAACCCTATCTCAGGATTTCAAGAAAGAACTAGAGGGCAGAGGGTCCCAGAGTCTGTATGCCAGGTAAAGAAAGGGCAGGTGTGGTCTATGATGCAGAAGCCTCTGGACCAAGCCTGAGGTTGATAAATACCAAGCAAGCCTTTGAAAGGAACCTGCACCAAAGTGTGTGTCCAGGGCATGTACTGGCCACTCCAACACCCCTCCTTAAACAACAGACCCTGTTTTGCCTCCCCATCTGGAGGCTGCCCTGACTTTGCAGCCCACCAGCCCAGCTGCAGCTGGGAGGAGGGCACACAGCTGGATCTCTTGTCTTGGGTCACACTGAGGAGAGCCAAAAGGGGAGGAGAGCGGAGTTAGTTCCTCCTAAGGAGGGAGAGGCAGAACACACAATGTCACAGAGGTTTCAAGTGTGTTTATCCACAAATGTTTAATTGGCAGCCCCACCAACTGTAGCTAGTCTGAAATGTATTCTCTTTGGCCAACACAAGGTTTTGGTTTCACTAACCCAAAAAGTATTTATAAAGTTCTCAAATTCCAGATTCTCTTGAAAACCGGGAAGAACTGACAAGGCAGAGTCCAAATTCCAACTTGTCGTTAATTCTCAGGGGCTTAGCGGTGGAGAACACGGTTAGACCTTCAGTCTCATGCCACAGTCCCAATCCTGCACACTCAGACCTTCTGCTGCCCAGGGACAGCAAGAGCTACGGTGCCCCGCGCCCTGGGGCTCACCAGCCCTAGGGCACCAGGTGGGGTGCAGGAGCCAGGCAGCTACCTTCGGCTCGGGCTCGGAGGCAGGCTGGGGACCCCGGGGCGGAGCCTGGTCTCAGGCTCTGGGAAGAGCCGCGGGGGCGGAGCACCAACTCCAGCGGGAAGAGAGAGACCCGGGAAGAGCGAGACCGCGACGCGCCGTGAAGCGCGCTGGCGCGAGGAAGAAAGGGACATCCCCTTAGCGCGGAGCCTCTGCAAGTGCAGGTCCGGGTCCCCGGGGCAGAAACCCAGGGCCCGGCCCGCGCCACCCACCCCGCTACCCTCACTCAAGCCGCCGGGGCCGCAGAGCGCACCGGGGAGGGGAGACCGAGGCAGGTGAGGGCTCAGATCCGCGCAGTCGGGGACCCGCGGTGTGGTGGGGGCGTCGCCTGGGCCAGGGCCTCGGACCCCCACTTATTTTCCGGGTCATTCGGGCTGCTTTGCCTCCCGCCACTGTTGCTGGAGGCGAGCTGGTTCCGGAAGATCCCCTCTCGGCTCTCCGGGACAGGGCAGGGGGCGGTCACCTGGGACCCGGGCATGCGGCCGCGGGCGGAGGGAGCCAGAGGGTAGCTGGGCTGAGGGGGCGAGCGCCAAATTGTCTGGGAGGAGCGAGCAGAGGGGGCACCTTCCTGAAAGGTGAGCGGAAGACCGCAAGCGTCTGCGGGAAATTCCCGCGCACCGCCTCGTCCACCCGCCACCCCCAGCCCCCGCCTCGCCCCCGTGTTCTTCCTGCCCGAGGCCCGCAGGCTTTGCTTCTCCGGCCTGAATCTCTAACTCGATTCCCGCCCCTGCTAGGGCGGCGCCTGGGAGAGGTGAGGAAGCTCCGGCCAGTGCTAGGCGGTCGGGGACCCGGGGACCGGGCGGCATACAACGTCCTGAGTAAATGGGGCCGGGGGCTGGGATCCCCCACCCCCAGTCCCCGCGCGCACCCTCTCATCTTGGGTCAGGGGACAGCGGCGGAGCGAATAAGCCAAAAGGGACAGAAGTCCAGCTCCTCCGTCTGCGGCTGAGCAGAGTCTGTGGAGATTAGGATCTCGCCGGAGACAGAGAGGCGACCACGAGGGCAAAACCCGCCTAGTGTAGTCGCCGCCGGGACTTGAACCTGACCTCTCTCAGGCTTTTCCCTCGAGCGCGTCCCAGGTTGGGGTGTCGCCGCGATCCTGGCGACTCCTGTTCCTTGCAGTCCTGTCCTTCAGGGGCTCCTTTCCCTCACAGGAGCACCGAGCCCAGGTCTTGCTACCAGAGTCTCGCTTCCCCCACACTTGGAGACATTGTCAGATGTGCCCAGAGGTGGGGGGAAGCCACACAGCCGGACGACCAGAGCTCCATTCCGTGAATGTTGGGATCCAGGTTCTCTTTCAGGGCCCTCGGCATTGCCTTGTAGCCCATGGCCCCCTGTCTCCTGGGGGCTCAGCACATCAGAGACTGTTTCTTCCCCTGTGGGGATACTGAGGCACAGAGGATATGATGGACTTAGGCAGCGAAGGACAGTTTGGCCCTCCGGCTTTTCTGGTACTGGATAACCCTCCCAGCCCCCTTCCCCCCCAACCTTACAGACTGACTTCAGGTTTTAGAGTGGCCACCACTTCCAGAGGACACAATCTCTGGTGACAAGACATAGTGGCTCCCAATCAGGGTTGACTCTGGGTGGAGAACTGGGGCCTGGTGGGGAGGACAGGAGGCAGACAAAGCATTTCTTTCTGGAGCTGGTTCCCAAAGCCGGAGAGCAGCAGGAACACTCCCTCCCAACCACTGTCCCTCACCTACACAGCCTGGTCCGGCTCCTTGTTCATTCACTCAGCAGATTCCCATCCAGCCCCCACTGTGCACCAGGCCCTGGACTGGGCAGCAGGAATTTGGTTTACAGGAAAGCGGGGACTCCGAGAGCATAAAAAACTGGCCCACGATGACTCAGTCTGTCCCTGTGAAAATGGATTTGGTGGTTTCCGTGTCCATGGTTTGGCCAGGACAGAGGGAGCCCTGTCCTGCTCTGGGGAAAAGAGTGCCAAGTCCTGGCCCTCTGGCTTCCTTGTCCCCGGCCAACAGGTGGTGCAACACTGTGACTGCCATGGAAGCCTGAGCCAGCTTCTGGGAGCAGCCTTGGAGAACTTCCAGAAGACCCTTGTGGGGGCTGATGCATTTGGGCAGGGAGATAGTGTGATGCGCAGATAGGCCCCAGTCCCTGGAAAAAGGGCACAGGTGCACATTGCTCTTGGCATCTCTGGAGAATCCAATCCCCCCTATACCCAGTCCTTCCTGACTGCTGGGCAGCCAGTGAGTGCCTCCTCACCCCTGCACCCTGGGGGAGGTAGTTTCATTGTCCTATGCCTGGGGAACTTGAGGAATGCTGCCAGATGTTCTTCTGCATGCCATCCACTCGTTGTGTCTCCTTCCAGATCCAGGATGGTGAATCACTGAATCACTTCCCCCCAAGGATGCTAGACTCACTGACCTCATGAGAGCAGAAGGTCTGGACCCTGAGCTCAGAGTGTTTGGACCCCTTGCACCTCTTTCACACCCCTCCAGAGCAGCCACCATGGCAGCCCAGAGTGGAAACACTAGTTTTGCACCCAACTTTAATCCGCCCCAAGACCATGCCTCCTCCCCACCCTTCAACTTCAGTTATGGTGATTATGACCTCCCGCTGGATGAGGGTGAGGACGTGACCAAGACTCGAACCTTCTTCGCAGCCAAGATTGTCATTGGCATTGCGCTGGCAGGCATCATGCTGGTCTGCGGTATTGGCAACTTTGTCTTCATTACTGCCCTTGCCCGCTATAAGAAGCTGCGCAACCTCACCAATCTGCTCATTGCTAACCTGGCCATCTCAGACTTCCTGGTGGCCATCATCTGCTGTCCTTTCGAGATGGACTACTACGTGGTACGCCAGCTGTCCTGGGAGCACGGCCACGTACTCTGTGCCTCTGTCAACTACCTGCGCACAGTCTCTCTCTATGTCTCCACCAATGCCCTGCTGGCCATTGCCATTGACAGGTGAGGATGTTGGGTAGGGGTGGACAGCGGGGCTGGGCCAGGCTGTCTCTTTCCTCACTTTAGCCGACAGGCTGCCATTGCTCTAGATATGAATGCTTTCCAGGGGCAGGAGAGCTTATTTCTCCAGTTCTGTTATTTTTCTCCCATGTGAGTAAGAGTGAGGCTTCTGAGTGTCCTGGTGCTGACCCATCCCTCAGATACCACATCTGTCTCAGATACAGGCATATCATGTAACAGTGTGCAGTGTCCACCAAAGACAAAAGTGGAGAATTCAGGCCCCTGCCACTTAGAAGCCACATGAGAGTTAACCAGGGAGCTTCCAGTCAAGATCAAGTTTTGTACCAAGTATTTCCTGTAACCACTACTGAGACGGAGGTAGCTAACATTTCCACAACCTAGAAAATTTCCTGAGCCCCTTTCCATCAATCCCCCCACCCCAGGCAACCACTAGTAAGATTTCTATCTTCATAGCTTAGTTTTACCTGTTCTTTAACATTAAAGAAAAGCAATCATATAGTTTGTTTTGAGTGACTTTGTTGCACAGCTGGTTTTAAAATAAGACAACAGGGTTTGCAGAAAAGAGGGTTATGCTTGCTTTTGTTTTCCTGCATACATCCCTGTGCTCATTTGCATATATTTGCATGAAATGTTCCAGAAGTCCTTGCTCTATTTTATTTTTTCCTTTCTTTTATTTATTTATATTTTATTTTTTCTTATTATTTTAATTGACACATAATAATTGTACATATTTATGTGGTACAGATTGATATTTTAATGCATGTGTGCAATGTGTAATGATCAAATCAGGGTAATTAGTATATCCATCACCTAAAGCATTTATTATTTCTTTGTTTGGGGAACATTCAAAATCCTTTCTCCTAGCTATTTGGAAATTTGTTAATTGTAGTCACCCTGTGGTCCTGTGGAACTAGAACTTATTCCTCCTATCTAGCCTTTGCTCTATTCT